TTGGCGGGACCCGGAGAGAAAACTCTCTAGCTACAGTAACAGATTTGCATTCTGTGCATCACTCATCCCACAGCCCCAGGTACTACATTATGGAGAAAGAAATCAATTATTAGTCAAAGATGAGAGAAGTAACTGTAAAACTTTATATTGGAAATAACCACATTTGGAAAGCACAATAAAATCTGGAACTGGACCTATTTTATGGCCTCAGAATCTAGATTTTTACTTGTATACTAAACCCACAACACCATCTCATACCAGGCCTCATCTTGTAGCTCCAGATTCTAGGCTTAGAACATATTGGTCTCTGGTCAGCCATGCTTCCCAGGCAACTTGAGAACCGTTAAGCTCAGGATCTCAGAAGTCTTAGTTGTTAGGCCATCCACAATATTATGACAATATCCACACACTCAACTTTGTAGTCTCTTGTAGGCCCAGGCCATTTGTAGTAGATACACCTACATACTGTTTTTCTCTTTGGACCTGTAAAGGCCTGATTTCTTTCCAGGCTGAATCCTCCATCTGAGTCATCAGGCACATACCTGGGAACCCGGAGTCCAGCCAGATCTAGTGGTTATAATCCATAGCTCAATTCAGCACCAAGTCAGGCTTGTAACCCTGAGCTCTAGGTCAATCCCTGTGGTGATATTTTATTTTTGTTCCCCAATAAAGTTTATCTGAGAATCAGAGGAAAAAGCCAGCTACTATAGTAAACATACAGGTCAGGTAATGGTAGCACATGCCTTTAATCCTATCACTCAGGAGGCAGGGATCTGTCTGGACCTCTGTGAGTTCAAGGCCACACTGGGAACAGAGCCAGGTGTGGTGGCACACACCTTAAATTCCAACACTAGTTAACCATGGAGATCTATCTGTACAGACAGACAGGAAGTGACAGAGCTGGGCAGGAAGAGGAAGCAATGTAGCTGGGTGGAGAGAGCAAACGATATAGCAGAACAGAAAGGCATATAGGTGGGTATACAGGAGGTAGGTCTCTTTGGAAGCTGCAGTGCTGGGGATGTCTTTCTGTATGCTGTGAATGTGTTGCTCTGATTGATTGATAAATAAAACAGTGATTGGCCAGTAGCTAGGCAGGAAGTATAGTATAGGAGGGATAAGAGAACAGAGAATTCTAGGATGTGGAAGGCTGAGTCAGGAGCTGCGGCCAGCAGCCACTGCCACCATGAGAATTAAGATGTAAAGTACCGGTAAGCCACAAGCCACGTGGCAACTTATAGATTAATAGAAATGGGTTAATTTAAGATATAAGAACTAGATAACAAAAAGCCTGCCACAGCCATACAGTTTATAAGTAATATAAGTCTCTATGTGTTTACTTGGGTCTGAGAGGCTATGGGCCCTAGCGGGACTGGTGGGTGAGAGAGATTTGTCCTAACCACCGGCAGGCTGGGACACAGGAAAACTTCAGTTACACTGTGGGGTTGGTGAGGTGAGATTAGCTGTGGCTTTCTTTTCCTATTCCTCTAATCTCTCAGGTTTTAACTCCAATATCTGGTGATTTTTTTTTATTAATAAGCCATTTAACAATTTGTCTACAAATCCCAGGTGTCAGTTTACACAGATCCATGCTTCTGTCCCATCCCTAATGCCAGATTTATTCCTTAGCTTTAGACACAAACATGCAAAAATTAATTGACAGTTGGTAAAAGATGCAACTGAAAATAAAATTTTAAAATGCATTAGAAGGAACAAAAAAAATACAACTTATCCCCATTTGTGGCATTCAGGAGGAAATCAATAACTGTAAGTAAACACATTTAAAAAGTAAACAACTCAATAATGATTATGCAAACAAATGATATTATATTTGGAGCAAAATGTAATGATATACTTTTTCTGCTTTTATAAAATCTATTTTTAAATGTTCCCTCACTTATGATAAAATAGTAAATGCATTTATACACTTAAAAAGTCAACAATTCCAGCTTTTCAAGGCATGTATGTCTGTAATCCCAACACTTGGAAAGTGAAGGCAAGAGAATCAGGAATTTGAGACTATCTTTTGCTATTTAGTGAGTATGAGGCCACTCGGCTAAGGTTTCTCAGAGATTGTGTGCTAGACAATATTCCAGGGATACCTTGGCATCAGAGTGTGGTGATAATTTGTTATACTCTAATAAAACTTGCCTGAAAGTCAGAGGACAGAACTAGCCACAGAATTAGCCATAGTTTTTAAGTAGTGGTGTCACACACCTTTAATCCTAGTACTTGGGAGGCAGAGATCTGTCTGGATCTCTGTGGGTTCAAGGCCATCCTAGACTATTAGAGATTAATCCAGTCTAAAAGAAACAGAGCCAGGCAGTGGTAAAACACACCTTTAATCCTAGCTCTTGAGATCTCATGTCTTTGCTACCAGTATTTAGGAAGCACACACGCCATTAATCCCAGCACTAGGAAGGTTGAGACAAGAAGTAATATTGCTGGGCAGAGAAAGGCATATGAGGCATGAGGAGACAGGGAACTCAAGCCCTTTTGGCTGAGGACTCAGAAGCATTCAGTCAGAGCATTCGTGGAGTTGGCAAGGTAAGAGGTGGCTGTGGCTTATTCCTTTGTCTCTCCAATCTTTCAGCATTTACCCCAATATCTGGCTCTGGGTTTTTATTATAAGACCATTTAGGATTCATGCAATACAGAGAACAGAGACCTTTTTCCCCTGGAGGAGATGTCAGGCACCTCCAACTAATGGTGAAATCTGGACACACAAACACACATACACACTTAAAATCCAGACAATGTGTTTGAGAGAAAACATGTATAAGTCTACTATACTAAACATAGTAACTCATTAATGTATAGCTTTTATGCATTTGTGTAAGGTGAGAATGCCTTTTTTTAAAGAAAGAATAGCCACCTGTCATCTTGAGAGACCCCCACCCCAGTTCCCCCTAAGGCCGGGAGAGCTGAGGGAAGGGATATCTTAAAATAACCAGAACTATGTCAGTTCCCCATTCTCAGACAGGGTGAAGTCAGAAGTTTTAAAAGTACAAAGTTAGGATGTCTGGTGGTGACTAACCACGAGACGCCCCCTCCCCCGAGATAACATGACCAGACTTCGGAGATGGGCCGTAAAACTCCTGACAGAGAAAACAGACAAACTAAAATAAGATAAAGTCCAGGTTTGGGAAAACTGGACCAATCAAGGATGGACCCATACTAACACCCTCCTCTCTGAAGAATTTTGTGGTTTTTGCCTTCAAAAGCTAACCTCCCCAAGAAAGAACTCTCCTCCCTGCCTCGCTGTGCTGGGCCCTCGCTGTGCTGGGCGGTGTGGACGAGGGTTCCCTGCTAGCTTGTACTGCGCCAAAAAGTAAACCTTACTGTTGCATTCTGGACATCCTCAGTCTCCAGTGTTCTCTTTGGGGGTCCTAATCTGGGCAGAACAATCTGACTCCCACAATGTAAAAGCATACCCTTAAATCTAAGGTCATTTGTGTCCTGGGAACAAAATAGTCCATAATTACAAATTTGGCCGGGTTTTTTTTTTTTTTTTTTTTTTTGGTGCTCTTATTTGAAATTAGACCCTTTGAATGGAGACCCATCCAACCAATGTCAATAACATGCATCCACACTGCAAAGACGACAAGCCCTTCTATTAGAGTCCCCTGGAACCGGGCAGCAGTGGTGCACACCTTTAATCTCAGCACTTGGGAGGCAGAGCCATGTGGATCTCTGTGAGTTTGAGGCCAGCCTAGTCTATAGAGCGAGATCTAGGACAGGCACCAAAACTACACAGAGAAACCCTGTCTTGAAAAACAAACAAACAAAAAGGAGTCCCCTGGAGACTACTAATGTACTAATAATGTACAGGGACTTTAGCCACCTGTTAGCATTCAGACCCACTTCTTAGAATACTGACCAATAAGCAGATAATACCCTGGCCTACCCAGCGTCCTGACTATCATCCTGTTCTCTTTAAGAAAGGACCCCTTCCCCTTATATGTCTCTCTCCCTCTTCCTCCTCTCCCTCTCCCTCTCTCTCCCTTTAATAATAAAAACTTTCTACATGGATGCGTATCTGCAGTGTAACATTCCACTGTGCCATACCGCTGTCCACTGCATGGCATGCCTCACCCGCTGCAGGGTAGCTTGGTCCAAACCAGCCAAGGCCTCTCATGTGCCATTTCACAACATTAACACAACCACCCCTCACACCTCCTGTAATCTTCTGACCTGTGTGTCTCTCTTGCTGTGTCCACCTACTAGCACGACTCCACTCAATGTGGCTTGTGTGGTGAAGCTGGTGGAGGTGGAGGGTGAGACTGGATCACGAATCCCTTGCAGATGCTCTGGTGTCTCTGGAGTGGCAGACTGTGTTGAGCACCATGAGTTTTGCTGAGCAATGGCCACGGGCAGTTTTAATACTGTTAACACATCCAAATGGCCATTCCCTTTCTGGTGTGAAGTTTGGGGATTGTGAGTAACTTTAACGTATAGCCGTGTTTTCTCATGTTAAAAGCCTGTGTCCTTCCTGCTACAAGCTGTTCTTAGAGGACTTGGGGAGACACATCTATACGAAAGAATCTGGTATACAGAAACAATATACAGAAGTTCTATTGCCACGGGAGAAAGAAAAGAATCCTAAGCCCCTAGAAACCCTAGAAGTGTGAAGATCCTGGTCACTCATTGGGTACACGAGCTTTGCAGGGTCTCATTTCTCAGCCAATGAGCTTAACGTTCTCCAGGAAGGTCAGGAGCCTTGGGTAGGAACCTTTTCAAGTTCCGCCTACAGCTCTAGCACATCCTTTGGTTTCCCGCTTTGTACCCTTCCACATGAGAAAGAAGTCCCAGTTTACTCCACCCTCCCCGTGCAGACTCAGCCTATAGAGGTCTTCCTAGGAGGGAGGTCCCACCTCCACCTCTCCCAGCATGCAATGTGTCATCAGCATTGCCCTGTGTGGGTCTAAGAAGTGAACTTCCATCCGGTGGCTCACTACAATCGTCTTCACTTACGATACCTTCTGGCTGGTGCCTTTTGTGCCATGTCTGACACCAAGAAGCCAGACCGCGGCCATAGTGGCTCAAATGGTGAAGATGATGGAAATAGATCCCTGGAAGAAATTCTAATGTCTCTGCAGTGGCTGATCTTCATTGCTGCCACAGCAGGTTTTCTGGCATTCCAGTTAATCACAAATGCCATTTATGAGGAGCAGTATGAGGGAGATGTGGCTTGGATATCCAATCAGAGCAGGCAGATGTCCCCGACTGATGAGGAGGATGAGGACATCGAGGATGAGGATATCGAGGATGAGGATGAGGATGAGGAAGAATTGGAGAACCAGATGGAAGCAGAGGAGGTCGGGGCAGAAAATGAGATGCTCATGGAAGAGAGTGCAGGAGCTCCGTGCCTCACTGACTTAGCGACCTGTACCTGTGAGTGATCCATGGTCCTTACTCTAGATGCAGGTTGGGTGTATTCTTAACCACATCCATAGTAAAGTCCACCTCATAATATTTAGGCTCATTCCTCAGCGCCATTACTGTCTCTCATTCCCTCCTCCTCTCCACTCTCCTCTCAGACCTGTCCTTAGCACCTCTCCTACCATCCCCTCTTCCCACTCCTCAACCTGCTCCCCTGCACCTCTCATTTTTGCACCTTTCCTCTCCCTGCTCTGCTTCCTGTCCCGGCTCCCCTTTTTGTAACTTTCTTCTCCCTGCTCCCACCCCCTCCCTGCTCCTTTTTGGCGCCTTCTCCCTGCTCCATCCCCCTCCGTGTTCCCTTTATTGCATCTTTCCTCTCCCCCTCCCTGCTCCCCTTTTTTGTGCCTTTTCTCTCCCTGCTCCAATCCTCCTCCCTACTCCCTTTTGGCTCCATCCCCCTCCCGGCTCCACCCCCCTCGCTGCTCCCCTTTTCTGCGCCTTTCTCCCTGCTCCCACCCCCCTCCCAATTCCCTTTTGGCGCCTTTCTTCTCCTGGCTCCTTCCCCCTCTCGGCTCCATCCCCCTCTCGGCTCCCTTTTTGCACTTTTCCTCTTCAGATCCCTTCCTGGTCCATGCTCTAGTTTTCTAGCCTTTCCTGCCCTGCTCCCCTACCCCTCCCAACTACCCTTTTGCTACACTCTTCTTCCTGCTCCTCTCTCCCTCCCTGCTCCCCTTTTGATATCTTTCCTCTCCATGCTCCCATCACCCTCCCTGCTCCCCTTTTTGCTCCTTTCCTCTCTACCTCCCCTCCCTGCTCCCCTTTGCCCCCGCCTTTCCTCTCTACCTCCCCTCCCTGCTCCCCTTTGCCCCCGCCTTTCCTCTCTACCTCCCCTCCCTGCTCCCCTTTGCCCCCGCCTTTCCTCTCTACCTCCCCTCCCTGCTCCCCTTTGCCCCCGCCTTTCCTCGCCTTGCTCCTATCCCCTCCCTGTTCCTCTTTTCCCGCCTTTCTTCTCCTGCCTCCCATCCCCCTCCCTGTTCCCTCCTCCCCCCTCCCATTTTAGTTCCTTGTCCCCCAGCTAACATCCCGCTCCCTTTGGCTTTTCCTCACCAGCACTCATCCACCGCCCTGCTCCCCTTTTTATGACTTACCTCTCCCTCCCTGCCTGCCTGACTCCCTTTTCCTGCTTCCCTTTCTCCCAGCTCCCCTCCCTCCCTGCTCCCCCTTCTTGCCTTACACCTTTCCACCTTTTGCTTCTTCCCTCCTTCCTGCTCGCCCCTCAGCTTCCCTGACCCACTTCCTGCTTGCCTCTTCATCTCCTTAGTCTTTCGCCCCTCCTCCCGCTGCTGCTCCATCCCCCTCAACCCCCTACTGCCCTGATTTCCTCACCATCCCTGCCCCCTGTCTCTTTTCTTTCCTCTCCAGTCTCTTCCCTCCCTCCCCCCCCCCCCCCCCCCCCCGTCAATCAATCCCCCTCACTTCACTCTCCCTGTCCCCCCACCTTGTGCTCCCTTCCTGCCTCTGCTCCCCCTCTTGCTTTCTACTCTAGTCCCCCCATCCTCCCATCCCTCCCCCATCTTCGCTCTTCTCCCTTCCTGCTCTCCACCTCCTGCCTGTCCCCCTGGCTTTCAGTCCTTCTTCCCACCCTTCCCTTTTCTCCTAGTCCCCTCCCTGCTCCCCCTCGCTGCCCCTTTCTCCTTCTTACATCTCCATTTTCTTACATCTCTACTTTCTTACTGCCTCCCTTCTCCTTTCCTGTCCTTCACCCCTCTCCTCCCTTCCCTCTCTTCACTCCTCTCCCCACCCCTGATGCCCAGCTTCCTGCTCCATCTGTGCTCCTACTTCCTGCCTCTCCTTCTCTTTGTTCCTCTCCTCTCCCCGTTCTGCTCTCCTTCACCTCTTCCTTCCCTCTCTTTATCCTCCCCCTGCCCTCACCCTTCTTGCACCTCCCCCTTCATCCTTTCCATCCCCTGTCCATCAATCTCCTCCCCTCTCCTCTGCTTATTCCCCTTCCTGTCTCCCTTCCCCACTTCCCTTTCCTGTCCCTCCCTTCCCCCTCTTTGTTCTTCCCACTCTGCTTCCTGCAATGCCTCCATCTTCTTGCTCCCTCCCCCTCTGCTTCCCTCACCTCCTTGCTGCCTCTTTGTCTGTCTATCTCTCCTCTCCTCCCTTGTTCCCTCCCCGCACTCCCAGGTCACTATCTGATCCCTCTTCCCTTCTGTTACCCAAGTCCCTTCTGTTCTCTCTGTCCTAGTCATCCCCCAGCTCCACCCTCCCCTGTCCCCTCTCTTCCCTTTTCTCCTTTGCCTTTCTTCATTCTCTATCTTCCTCCACACACCCTTTCTCCTCTGGAGTTCCCTTCCCACTCTACCCCCCTTCCTCCCTTCCCTCTCTCCCCCATCTCCCCTTCTTCTCTTCTCCCCCCTCCCTTCACTCTCCTTTTCCCCTCCCACCTCCCCCAGCCTCTCTCCTCTTTAAGTGCCCACCTTTCCCCTTCCACCCTCCTTTTTGTTCCTAGGCCTTTTGCTTTTAAAAGGAGGCCCCAAAGCCAGGTGCTAGTGGCAGCACAGGCATGGGCATGTCTTTAATCCCAGCACACAGGAGGCACACATAGGCAGATCTCTGTGGGTTCGAGGCCAGCCTGGTCTATAGATCGAGATCCAGGACAGGCACCAAAGCTACACAGAGAAACTCTGTCTCAAAACCAAACCAAAACAAACAAACAAACAAAGGAGGTCCCATCTGGGAGGCTAGGAACCTAACAGAATTGCAAAGTCAGAGCTGTGGGCAGAAGAGGTTGAGTGCAGCTAAGGCCAGGTATCTGAGGATGACTGGAATCCTGAGGTAACACGGGACTACAGAGTGGTAGTGAAGTTCTTGGTCCTTGCTGCTTCTTTTGCCTCTGTTGGCACATCTTTCCCAAATGCAGGTCATGCTCAGAGCTTGCCCAACCTGACTGAGTAATGGTAGAGTGTGAAAACTAGGGGCCAGTGGTTTGTTTTTTTAGGACAAACCTAAATTTTGTTGATGATATTATGCTAAAAATATAACAAATACAGAATGGAGATTTTGGTACCCTTCTGTCCCATGGGTTATGAATAATGAGCTATGTACACAGGAAAAAACTGTCACCATGAAGATTTTTTAGGCTAAAATTCTTTTTTCTCCCATGTTTATATTCTCCAGGTGTTCCTAACAATCAATTAAGGAAGAAGGAATTTAAGTGTCCACTGTTTTATTTCTTCCGTGATCCTAAATTCATGGTGCCTGCCCCATTCAAATCTGAGAAACCAAATGAATGTGAGTGTGAAAATGCTGCTGAACAAGCTGCAGGGGAAGAAGAGGAGGAAGATGATGAAACTGGAGAGCTGGCCAGAGAGTCGAAAAAGAACCTGGACTCTGCAGAGGGCTCCCCACCATAGGAACGCAGGTACTGGCTTCTCTAACTAACCATTCCTAACATAGCCCTGTGACTAAGAGCTTCACGTTTTTAAAACATTCTTGGTAAACAAAACAGTTGTTAAATTTTCATACTATTAAATATTAAATTAAATAAATATTAAATTTATTTAATATTAAATTAGAACAGTTTAACATCCACAATGTACTCATTTGTTAAAAAGGCGTGAGTTGTTTCTAGATGGAAGGCCTTTAGACTATGAGATGACTTAGAACACATAGGAATTTGTCAGACTTGGTAGTAAGAGATCATGAAGAGACATTCTGCCTGCATTGTGCGGCCACAGAAATAGAGTGGATTGTTCTTATGGTGCTGATGAAAATTGGAAAAAGTTAAGTGTTTCAAGTGAAATCACACCTCATGATTCATTTGTAAATTATCAGCCTAGTTTTGATTTTAATAATTCAAATTACATGAAACTAAAAAAAATTAAAGTTTGTTTTTACTGAATTGGGAATTGGGCATTATATTTTCTGTGTTCATCTTTGTCTCTTTTTGTCTTTCTGAATTTTCCCATTTCTAGATCTACTTTTAAAGAGATGAAAATCTCTATTTAAAACAAAATTAAATCATTTTCAAATTTAATTTTTTATTTTAAATTTTAATTATTTAATTTTTTTAAATTAAAATCTTTTAAATGAGATTTTTCAAGAGATGAAGATCTCATTTTAAAGAGAGGGAAGCTGAGTAGCTGGGAGGCTAGGGAATGTGTAGGGTTGGTATATAAACATGCAAAGTTTTGTGCTCTGAGAAGCAGTTAAAGAAAAAGAAAAATCAGGCCTTTATAGTGGTTGCTAGTTGGATAGTGAGGTTGATATGATCAGATTATGGAAGCTATGAACCCCATGAGCAATCTGGTAACTAAAGATCGGCTAGGGACGCATGGCAGGGAAGTGGTTTACTTTTTCCTTGTTGAGAGACAGTGGCATTACATAGAATTGACAAGAGTGTCAGTAGTGCCTTTTAAGAAAATACAAATGTTGCTTATCTCTTATTTCCTCCTACAGTTGGAAAGCTGAGAAGAAAGAAATGGACGAAGGAAGAAGAAATGGTTTTCATTAGTTTTTCCATTTTCAGTAGTCTAGAAAATTGATTGTGTTCTAAAGTCACTATATAAAGATGTCATCAACAGACATTGGACTACACAGTGACCTTTTATAGATATGTTCATGTTAAAAATAAAAGTTTATTTTGCATAAAACTATAGTCATTTTATGTTATGTTAATCCATGGGGGTTTTTGTTTTATCTTTTTAGTTTTGCCTCATCTTGAAAAAGACGATACTAAATAATACTAATGGGTTAAATAATACTAATGGGTACCTGAAGCAGCAGCACCAGCAGCAGCTGGAAATTTTTGTTGCAGCCTTTTTGCAGCAAACTCCATAGGTTTTTTGGGGTGCTCCAAAACCATAGGAGTTAGCTGCTTTCTAACATTCCCTCATGCAGATGGCTGGCTCTTTGGCTTCTTCTCTCCTGGTGGGTTGTGGATCCACATTAGGTAGCTGCCTTGAAACTTTCTCAGGCTTCTAATGTTCTATGCAGAAGCAGTCAGCCTCACATCAGCAGATTTGGTGAGACAATTGGGATTTCTTAAAGGGAGAAATTAGTTAAATAAGAATTTTTTTCCCACATTAAAAAATGGGAAACATTTTTTTTTTTTTTTTTTTGGTTTTTTGAGACAGGGTTTCTCTGTGTAGCTTTGCGCCTTTCCTGGAACTCACTTGGTAGCCCAGGCTGGCCTCGAACTCACAGAGATCCGCCTGGCTCTGCCTCCCGAGTGCTGGGATTAAAGGTGTGCGCCACCACCGCCCGGCCCAAAAAATGGGAAACATTTTTACAATGGAGGGAATTTGGTCTCTGTTTGATAATATGACTGACATTCTGAAAATAGAACAATTAAATGAGAGGATAATTAATGTGATGGGATGTCTGTAATATCAATCATAATATTTATTTGCCTGATCATTTGTTTTATAATTTAAAAAGTTGGTTAATATGAGTGCCAAGGTAAAAGTTTTAGAAAAACTTATTAAAACAGATCATTGAGAAATTCAGACCCAGACACAGGAATTTAAAGGTGAACCAATCTCAGCATTGCATTATAAGGTTACAGAGAAAAAGCCTATTGATAATATGTTGTTGAAACTGGACATACAGGACCCATTGGAAAATGACCACTGAATTTTGCCAAAACAAGGCAAGATGGTCTTTCAGGTTCTTGCTTCACAAAGAAGACTGCCAGACATTCTACAGGACACAGGGAGAAGTGATTGAGAGACTCTAGACCTATAGGCTGAAGATGGATGCCCCAGTGTTGCAGAGGAACTTTGGGTGATTGTCTAGGCAGCTAGATGTCTCTGTCATTTCTAGAAATTTGGAAGTTGTTTACAATGCACTTCCTGTTTACTTAGGTAATATTATACCCTTCTGGAGTCTTTGATGTAGTTGAAGATTAGATAATTATAATTTTCTTTGGTTATAAAAAAGATAAATTAGATATGAAACTTTAGACTCACAAATATAGGATAGATGATAGAATATTTTCTTTAATTTTGCCAAATACAAATAGATTAGATATTGTAACTGTAATTCTTGCTTGATACCTTGTTTGTTATATATAATTTTACTATGTTAAGACCTTTCTTTTTGATTAGACAGAAAAGGGGAAGTACTATGGGATGTCTTTCTATACACTGTGAATATGTGTTGCTCTGATTGGTTGATAAATAAAGCTGCATTGGCCTATGGCAGGGCAGGATGGAGCCAGGAGGGAAAATTCAAGAGAGACAGGAAGAAGAAAGGCAGAGGCAGAGGCAGAGGCAAAGGAGATGCCAGCCTACTGCCCAAAGAGCAACATGCCAGGAGACTGGCAATGCTACAGCCATGTGGCAATACATAGATTAATAGAAATGGGTTAACTTAAGATGAAAGACCTAGCTAGCAAGAATTCTTAGCCATAGGCCATACAGTTTGTAAATAATATAAGCCTCTGTGTGTTTATATGGGACCAAGTGGCTACAGGATGTTGGTGGGAGAGATTCGTCCAGACTGCAAAGGCCAAGCAGGACTGGACAAACTTCCGACTACACTCACTCTTTTTCTTTACCTTTTTGTCTGCCTCCAGACATGAGCTACCAACTCCTACTTAGGACAGATTTATTTATATCCATGAATGGGCTCATGAAATTTAAAACACTATAAACACATTTAAAATTGTTTAACATATCCAAAGCTCTTACCATAATTTGATAATGGGCACACACACAGACACAGACACACACACACATATATACAGTAAACAAAAGCATTAAGTGTGATGCATATAAAGAATGAGAGAGCCAGGCGGTGGTGCATGCCTTTAATCCCAGTACTCTGGTAGCAGAAGCAGGTAGACCTCTGAGTTTGAGTCCAGCCTGGTTTTTGAGAGAGTTCCAGGACAGCTAGGGCTACACAGAGAAACCCTGTCTTGAAAAACAGAGGGAGAGAGAGAGAGAGAGAGAGAGAGAGAGAGAGAGAGAGAGAGAGAGAGAGAGAGAGAGAGAGAAAGAGGGGGAAGAGGAGGAGGAGGAAGAGGAGAAGAAAATAGAATTGAATTAAATTTGGGAAGGTATCTGGTACACTTCTACCGTATTTGTGGTGTAGGAGTCTAAATTACTTTATATAGCTTTGCAATGTTTTCTAATAAAACATTTTATACTAAAATTGTAAATTGATAACAGAATTATCCTATTAAGAAGATCTGGTTAAAGAAAGTTACAGCTGGCTATAATGGAAGCTCAGAGAAGGGGAAGGGACAGGGCATAGGCAAGGACAATATAAGGCCTCATTGTACATTAATAGAAGTTTGTTTCAATGCTTTGTGCATAGTCTTAATATCTTCCCACATGTTCCTTGGTAGCACATTCGGTTTGTAATTCTTTTAGAGATGATAAGTCAGTGGTGACCACAAGGGGAAAAAGAAAAGAGGCTCAGGAAAATACTTAATGCATTACTCCATTATGCTCACAGGTCTTTGAGACAGGAGGTGCATTGTTACTAAAGTATTAGGCCTGACTCTGAAAATCCCATGAGACTAGATTTGGCTGCCTGCTACCTCAAGAGATGGTAAAACAAATGTAGTTGGTCAGACCAGGAAAACATGTGGTCTAGAAAACTTCCTTCCCTGTTCAGACAATAGCTCCAGGATTATATAAAGGTAGGATAAAAGTGGGGAAATGCACAATTAGGCATGTGCTTAGCCATTTGAGTCAGGCCTGCAAACCACAAGTGTGTGTATGTATAGCAGTGTGGCTTTGGTTGCAGGCCTGGATCTGAGGATTCCTTTGGAGTCCTCCTAACATGCTCCTGAAGCCAGGGCTTGGAAGGCAGTTTATGTTCAGTTTTTGTTACTAGTATGAGACGGTGGCCTTCAGGAAGCCCGGACAGTGGCATAAGTTAAAGAGACTGATTAGAGAAACACATAAAAAAATATTAAAGCCATTCAAAACAGTGGCAGTCACCCTTTTAATTTTCATGCTTGAGGCTGGAAAGATGGCTCAGAGTATTCATTGCTTTTGCAAAGAACCTGGGTTTGGGGTTCAGATCCCAGCAATCATGTGGTATCTCACAACCTTTTGCAACTAGTTCCAGGAAATCTGATGCCCTTTTTCTCCTCTGAAGTCACACACATGCTGCAAACACACACATGCAAGGCCAACTCTCATTCACATAAAATAAAGCAAATCTTTATTACAGGGACCTGTGAGCCACAGGACCTGGGTGCTAGGAATTGAACTCGGGTCCTCTGGAAGAGTTTACCAAGTGATCTTAATCATTGAGCTATTTCTCTAGCATCAAAATAAAATAAATCTTTCAAAAGTTCTCCCTTAGTAAAGGAGACCCAGTTACAATGCCAAGCAATGCCAGACCACCTACAAAAGACGTTGTTACCAGGCAGAAAACAGGAAGGAATGAGCTCTTAGATTAAGAATTTGACTCAAGTTTCCATAAGAGAAGCAAGGGAGGAATTTTGAAAAGTTCTGGGTTGTTTACTTTCAATAGTTTTGTGATTCACTACACTATATGCATTTATCTGGTACCTGGCTTTGGGATGACTAAGGCAGAGGAATATTTCCTCCTGGAGTGTAAGTGTCAGAGAGAAGGACAGTTATTGCTTGGTTAATTTATATATTAAAAGGCATGCTTTGGTTGGGTCTTTATTAACTTTGAGAATTGGTTACCCAAGGGAGGGACTGTTTTCTTTCTGCCAGGCAGTGAGGTATATGATTTTCTGTTTTTTCACTTGTCAAAACATATGGTGGATTTTTAAAAAAATTCAAAGTGTTTATAATAAAATTGATTCTTTGATACTTGGCATCACGATGAAGGTTTTAGAAAATAGGACAGAAATTTTTCTAGTACTCTAAATATTTTGTTATGAGAATTGGAAAAAAGAAGGCACATGAGTAAAAGGGAATCTCTGCAGGCTGATTCTTAACCACATCCTCCATTCTTACAGTATTAGCAAAGTGAAATAAATTTGCAGCTTTGTAGTATGTGTTAGAAAGTTATCAGGCAAGGAGGCCAGGTCTATCAATTAAGTTGTTAAGGATATGAAATCATAGGGTAGGAAAATATATGTAAATATTAATGATATTTGAGTGCAAACCAAGGAAAGAATCATTACAGTTGGAATTATAAACAGGAATACATGCTAGAAGTCTAGGAGGGTTAGCAGAAGAAAGAAATGGGGAATGGGTGATCCTCTATGGAAGATGTATGGTTTGCTGATATGAGACAGGTGCATCATAGGGAAAGCAAATTTTTTAAGTCCAGGAAATTGAACCTAAGGCCTCATTCATGCCAGGCATGTACTCTAACACTGAGGTTCATCAGGGTCTCACTGTTTCCACACTGGCCTGGAACTCACTCTAGCCAGCTGAACTAAAACTTACAGTCCTCCAGTCTCAGGCTTCTGACTAACTGAGATTACAGACTTATAACTTGAGGCCAAGCAATGGCACATTGTAATACCCTCAGATTTCCCTTTACACATAGGAGCTGTATGTAAGGAAGAAAAGATTTCTCAACAGTCATTAGTTTCACGGCTGACATACACACCCATAACAAAACATAGATTATCAAAATAAAAGTATAC